ATTTTAACCCAGGTGTCGTCAACATACCTGAACCAATGACTTGGTGGTGTCCCTGAAAAGGACGTCAAGGCTCTCTTTTCTACCTCCTCCATGTACAGGTTGGCAACAATAGGAGAAACTGGAGACCCCATAGCACACCCATGTTTCTGCCTATAATATTGCTCCCCATATGTGAAGTAGGTTGACTGCAGGCACAGTTTCAAGAGTTGACACAGTTGTTCTGTGGAAAGCGTGGTCCTGCTGCTCAGAGTGGTGTCTGATTTTAATTTTAAACTGACCACCTCTACTGCATCATCAACAGGAATGCACGTAAAGAGTGATGTGACATCAAAAGAGACCATTGTTTCATCAGTCTCCATGATGACATCCCTCACCTTATCCACAAAGTCCATGGTGTTCTGTATGTGGTGTTCTGAGCTGCCAACTAAAGGGATGAGTACAGACGCCAGATATTTGGAAACATTGTAAGTGACAGAGTTAATCATGCTAACAATAGGTCTTAAAGGTACACCTTGTTTGTGGATTTTAGGTAAACCATACAGACTAGGTGTGGCCTCCCCTGGGTACAGTCTGTGGTACAGAATATGGTCAATAGCCTTGTCCTGCTCCAAATTTTTCAGGCAATCTATTAACTTTTTCTTGTAACCACTTCCTGGATCTCTTTTCAGAGGTTCATAAGTGGTATGAATGGATATCCTAACTGGGCCTTCCTGAAAGCAGAGAAGAAACCCAAACAGGACTCTAGTCAGCTATCAGGTGAAAAGGAGGAACCTAGACCCAGACCAGTGGTCATTCCGTATGATGAGGGAGTATCAGAGAAACTGAGACGTTTATTTTCTAAACATAACGTCCCAGTGGCTTTTAAACCACAAAATACATTACGGCAAAGACTGGTTCATCCCAAAGATCCAGTCCCCCGGCACAAACAGAGTAATGTTGTGTATGTTGTTCAGTGTCAGGAGGGCTGTGGTCAGTCTTACATCGGGGAAACTAAACAGCCACTGGCCAAAAGGATGGACCAGCACAGAAGATCAACATCATCAGGCCAGGACTCTGAGGTCTACACTCATCTCCAGGCCAGCGATCACTCTTTCAGGGATGAAGATGTTCACATCCTGGACAGAGAGGAACGATGGTTTGAGAGAGGAGTAAAGGAGGCCATCTTTGTGAAAAGAAATCGTCCATCGTTAAACAGGGGTGGCCCCCTGTGAATAGTAAACAGCCATCAGTGTGCTAATGATCCATTGTTAGGCTGATGGTCTTTCTTGAGCATGTGAGCAGCTGGTTTTGGTTGTCAGCAGCAAACTGGTTGATCCATTCTGAGAAGGTGCTATTTAAGAGACCGAGCTAAATACAGCACCTCAGACTGAAGAAATCTTTCGGATGAGAGACGAAACGTTTCTACATTTTTTTGCTTTGTTTTTTTTTTTTTTTTTGAATGTCCAGAGGACCAGATTTAACTTTTTCGGATTTTTCTACCTGGATTATTGAGCATGCATCAGGAAAGCTTACTGCAAAGTGGAACAAACCAGTTCTGCTTGTGATAAGACGGTCTCTTTGGTACGCCCCCTCCTCCATTGCCGGCCCTCTTCCTTTTTGACAGTCTTGTCAAACTGCATGAAAACAACAAAGGCCATGCTCAATAATCCAGGTATACAAGCCAACATTTTTCAGTCAGGCCATCTGGACAATTTCTTTTTATTGTGCTGAAACGTTTCATCTTTGGTCCGGAAGGCTTCATCAGTCAAGGAAAGTTGGGGGAAGAATCATTTTTGTTGTGCGTTTCTTCGATGGGTGAATCACTACACCTGCCTCTCTGCTTACCCTGTTGTGCCCATCACTCTGGAACAGGGTAAATCTGGACTCATCAGACCACATGACCTCCCATTGCTCCAGAGTCCAATCTTTATGCTCCCTAGCAAATTCAAGCCATTTTTTCAGTTAGCCTCACTGATTAGTGGTTTCCTTAAGGCTACACAGCTGTTCAGTCCCAATCCCTTGAGTTCCCTTCACATTGTGCGTGTGGAAATGCTCTTTTTCATTTACCCTTTATTTATACAGGTAGTCTTATTGAGTCAAGAGAGACCCATTTTTTGGAGCAGATGGTGGGGGTTAAGGGCCTTGCTCAGGGGCCCAGAGTGGGGACAAATGAGGTTGGAGGCAGGTGTGGGTGTTTCACCTTTTCCACCCACATTTTGATGTTGACGGTACCGTGAGTTGAACCTGCGACTTTCCGATCACAGGCCCATCTTCACTAGCCTCTGCGCCACCACTCCCTCTTTCACTATTAAACACAGCCCTGAGCGCTACTGTTGTTTTTCTTCGATTTGACTTCACCAAATGTTTAAGTGATCGCCGATCACGATCATTCAGGATGTTTTTCAGGCCACATTTCTTCCTGGAAGACTATGGGTCCCCACTATCCTTCCAGTTTTTAATAATGCGTTGGACAGTTCTTAACCCAATTTTAGTAGTTTCTGCAATCTCCTTGATGTTTTCTCTGCTTGATGCCAATGATTTGACCCTTCTCAGACGGACATCTTTTCCATGACCATATGATGTGTCTTTACACATGGTTGTTTAAGAAACGAGAAGCAACTCATTGCACCAGTTGGTGTTAAATAACTTGTTGCAGCTGAAAGATAATCACCCATGCTGTAAGGAGGCTCGTACCCATTTGCTCAGTTAAATCCAGGTGGTGACTTTTTCTTTTGTCGTTGTGTAATGAATGAGTCTACAAGTTTCACTTTCTGAATGGAATTACTGAAATAAACTTTTTCATATTCTAATTTTATGACCAGCATCTGTATACTGGTATATTTTACTGAGATTTTAAAAGAATTAAAATGCGTCAGTTTATTGTCCATCCATTTTCTTTTACCTGCTTTTCATTTCCGTGTCATGGGGAGAGCTGGTGTTATTCTCCAGCAGTCACTGTGTGGCACAAGTTACACTCACCTTGATCATAAGCTCTTAAGTCAAAAAACACTGACATAAGTTTGCATAACTTCTGTATAAGCTAGGGACAAGTCATGGATAAGTTACTCCTAGATTATATATCTGTTCATTTTATTACCAATGTGTACACGTCCAAAATTTACACAAGTCAACACAAGTTCTCTAAAATGTTACTATTGCGGCAGGGCTTTAGTGCCACTGCCCACATAGGATATTTGCATCCTATTGTTGCAACATCTTGACAGTAAAACAGAATTTCATCTGTCCTTTGTTGTAAGAAACGTAGTTATTTTCATGGGGTCTTTTGTATGATATTGACATTTTTCTAAAGACAAGACTTTTTTTATTTTAGAAATAGCTCATCTGTTGGACAGAGTACTTTAGACTTTTTTTGTATTCGATGTAGCTTATTTCCTCATTCCTCACAATGTCCCAAGTTTCAAAGTTGGGGTGGTACCAGCAGAACTTCTGCCAGACTCCACAGAATTCCTGTGTTTCATAAATCAGAACTGAACATGCATGCGACAGACATTTTTTCACTATTCAGTTTATTTTCCTCATTTGTTCAGAGTTGTTTGGTACTTCTGACATAAACTGTGTTTGTGATAAATTCAGGTCACTTTTAAAACAAGAATAGCTTAAAAAGAGAAAAAAGTACTTGAGCTTACCACACAAGGTGACGGTGCAAACTTAAGTGATAGTTAATCATCATTTTGGATGGAAAGCTGTAGAGAAACATTGACATAATCTGCTTCCTGACACACATCCAACAAACTGTCCATTCCAGTAAAATATTTTATCTCTATTGGTTGTCACATATGGCACATACTTACTGCAGGCAACACCTAAGGCATCATGTGACTTAAAAACAAACATTTTCTGTGTATTTCCAGACCAAATAAAATACATCTTAAAGCACAAATGACAAGCCACCAGGTTAACTACTAGATAAAATATACACAAACATTGACATGCAGAAACAACACTGACTTCAAATAAAAGGAGAATCCACAGCTCTATATGTAAGAATGACAAACCGATGATTACAACAACCCAAAGATCTTTGTCCTGTAGGGATCTCTGACCTGGAGTCTATGAAAAGGCTCCTGATTAGAAAAGGAAAGATCAAACATAAAGTCACCGATTTAGAGGAAGGGGAGATTCCTGTTCACACAACAGGAAACGCTTCAAACATCCTTGTTGGTTTTGGGGAAGCTGTAGATAAACTTGCATGTTTCGTTGGAAGACCTTCTCGGTTTTCACATTAAAGGGCGTCAGTCACTGAAACCTGGAAGCACAAAGAAAGGAGCTTGCTGTGTTCATTAGCCACCATCATTTTCAGCAGACAGCACCCATCCTGGTCTGTGGTGAAGCGTAGTGATGGGTTTGGGCTCAGCAGGATGGGAATGATGGGACTGTGTTCTTCAGGAGATGTATGTATGGAGATCAGATGTCTACTTTACAGTACAACATGCAACAGAGTTTCCCCTACCATTGTCCAAGGAGGGTGCCCCGCCCTGTCAACAGAACTGAGCACCCTGCCTACTGAACTGTCCCCCTACCCCGACAACTGACGGCACTGCCGTAACGCTAAGCTAGTGGCGCCCATTACAGACACAGTAGCTAAAAAGCTACAGAGGTAGCGCTGAGCGATTTCCTTCAGACCCCCTGGTCCACAACTGTTGGCACAAACAGCACGCAACACAGACATATCTGTCTCCGTCTCCACCCCACTCCCACATCGACAAAACTCACGGAGATGAGCACCCTGCCAAGGTAAGTGACCTAGGGGAAACACTGTTGCAAGTCTGTGTGTTTAAAAACAGATGCTTCCTGATTGAACTGAATGAATTATGTGTTGCAGCGTAGGAACAAGGAGGACGGTGAGGTCTCCTCAGGATGTGCCCTGTCTCTTCTGTTGCTGCACTCGGATCAGTTCCAGCTGTTTTTTGCATTTCTGGTAGTATGTGGACAGACTTTTGTTCTCCTCCAGCAATTTTTTGTGCTCCTGCACAAGACGTGAAGTGTTCTGCTGGTCCTTCTCATCTTGGTCCAGTTCAGCGATAAGCTCCTTCCTGCACATCCAGAAAACAAACAAGAATTAGATTCATGTACACAGTCATTATTTTTAATTTAAAGACCTACCACGAAGATTTCACTGTGTCAAAAACAAAAACTGAACTGAAACAGCAACATATAATTTCTGATCCAGCAGATTGTAGAACTTCCTTTAGCACCAAAACTCTTTCTGTTTTGTGTTTAACTTTATCAGTCCATCACATGGTTGCATGCACCCACTCTCATTTCAAACATTGCTTCAGTTCACTGAGGTTTGCAAACATTTATGGTGTGCAGTCATGCACTTTGGACTGATTTAACCCAAAGTAAACAGGATTAGAATCCCTGGAGTCCATATGACTCGTTAACTAATTAGGACTGCATACATACTTTCATGTAGGTGTACGCAGCACGTTATGTCTTACTATAAATTAAATTAAATATGTGTTTTCATAACTATTAACTCTTGTTTTGTCCATTAACTGTATGAGAATTTACGTTCTTTAGGGGGAAAACTGACCACCAGATTTTTTTTGTTGATATTCTTTATTTTATAACAGCAGTGCAGATTTACAATCATCAAACAGAAATATCTAGACATCTGCTGTATTTTTATCCAGGTAACTATGAACTTTTTTTTTTCATTCAACCTTTATTTAGACAGGTAAATCCCATTGAGCCTCGAGGACTCATTTACAAGAGAGACTTGATTAAATAAACTTAGAACAAATAAAGAGAGGAAAAAATAAAAAGACTTGTGCGTTACAATATCTGCAAATTAATTACTTTGATATATTAAAAGAGAAAAAAACACACCACAGGATCATTAATTCAACACCAGAAGCAAACAAGACGTTTCCAGCTAAACTCACGCTACATATGAGAGTTAGAACATTTCCACTGAAACACATATATTAACACAAATATGTTTATGTTCATATATAAACACATAACCATTTGTCTTTGGTCATCAATATATTGAACTCTTTTCACATTTTACTTTAATGTAGTCAGTGGAGTGGATATCTTTCATCAAGAATACTTTGTCAAACTTGGAAACAGTCCCCTTCACAGCATCACTTTCATAAGCAGTCAAAATAGTTTTAATATTAGGTCAATGTCTGTTTTAGGTTTAATGCAATGTTCAAAGTAATTCTGTGTAGGGGTTCTGGGTTTTGTCCTGTCCTTGTCTGTTTCCTCCTGTTTTCAGTTACTCAGTGTTTTCCCTCTTTGTGTTCAGCCCTCGTCACACCTGTGTTCAATGTCAGTCACCGCAGGTGTCTCGTTATTTGTTTCAATCAGCCTGTATGTATGTGTGTGTGTGTGTGTATATATATATATATATATATATATATATATATATATATATATATATATATATATATACAGGTCCTTCTAAAAAAATTAGCATATTGTGATAAAGGTCATTATTTTCCATAATGTAATGATAAAAATGAAACTTTCATATATTTCAGATTCATTGCACACCAACTGAAATATTTCAGGTCTTTAATTGTTTTAATACTGATGATTATGGCATACAGCTCATGAAAACCCAAAATGCCTGTCCCAAAAAATTAGCATATTTCATCCCACCAATGAAAGACAAGTGTTTTTAATACAAAAAACACCAACCTTCAAATAATCATGTTCAGTTATGCACTCAATACTTGGTCAGGAATCCTTTTGCATGAATGACTGCTTCAATGCGGCGTGGCATGGAGGCAATCAGCCTGTGGCACTGCTGAGGTGTTATGGAGGCCCAGGATGCTTCGATAGCGGCCTTAAGCTCATCCAGAGTGTTGGGTCTTGCGTCTCTCAACTTTCTCTTCACAATATCCCACAGGTTCTCTATGGGGTTCAGGTCAGGAGAGTTGGCAGGCCAATTGAGCACAGTAATACCATGGTCAGTAAACCATTTACCAGTGGTTTTGGCACTGTGAGCAGGTGCCAGGTCGTGCTAAAAAATGAAATCTTCACCTCCATAAAGCTTTTCAGCAGATGGAAGCATGAAGTGCTCCAAAATCTCCTGATGGCTAGCTGCATTGACCCTGCCCTTGATAAAACACAGTGGACCAACACCAGCAGCTGACATGGCACCCCAGACCATCACTGACTGTGGGTGCTTCACACTGGACTTCTGGCATTTTGGCATTTCCTTCTCCCCAGTCTTCCTCCAGACTCTGGCACCTTGATTTCCGAATGACGTGCAAAATTTGCTTTCATCTGAAAAAAGTGCTTTGGACCACTGAGCAACAGTCCAGTGCTGCTTCTCTGTAGCCCAGGTCAGGCGCTTCTGCTGCTGTTTCTGGTTCAAAAGTGGCTTGACCTGGGGAATGCAGCACCTGTAGCCCATTTCCTGCACACGCCTGTGCACGGTGGCTCTGGATGTTTCTACTCCAGACTCAGTCCACTGCTTCCACAGGTCCCCCAAGGTCAAGAATCGGCCCTTCTCCACAATCCTCCTCAGGGTCTGGTCACCTCTTCTCGTTGTGCAGCGTTTTCTGCCACACTTTTCCCTTCCCACAGACTTCCCACTGAGGTGCCTTGATACAGCACTCTGGGAACAGCCTATTCATTCAGCAATTTCTTTCTGTGTCTTACCCTCTTGCTTGAGGGTGTCAATGATGGCCTTCTGGACAGCAGTCAGGTCGGCAGTCTTACCCATGATTGCGGTTTTGAGTAATGAACAAGGCTGGGAGTTTTTAAAAGCCTCAGGAATCTTTTGCAGGTGTTTAGAGTTACGT